TAGACGTCTTAACGCTGCAGAATCGACAAGCTCGAGTGCATGTATCGCCCATGAGCTGCGCAAGGGGGATGGCGACGACGTCAGCGACATCTCTCCCTCTCTCTCTACTTGAAGCTACACGCGTGCTTCGCTGCCTGCGACATACCATAATCGTTGCTGTGCTCGTGCCCTTCTCGCCACCCCAACATTCCCCAATGTTCGGACACCTAGCCTCTTCGCATACCGTAGCTAAGCCCAAACTCCTCACGTCCTTTTTGATTTTTGTGAAATTTGAGCCTGTGGGAATCTTGGTACGCAAATGAGCAGGTAGCCTGGCGTCTGACGTCCTGCCCATCGAGATGCGCGACGAAGGAGAGATCAGGTCCAAAGAGGTTGGTGAGTCGGACGCTAGACGAGCTCGAAGAGCTTCCAACCGGGACAAAGGAACCGCCGAGTGCGCGGGAAGAGGCTGTGAGGGCGAAGATGAGCTGCTGGAAGATGAAGAAGCATCTTCGTCTTTGGAAGGGACCTCTGTGGCGAGCCTTCGAAGCTGGATGGAAGGAGGAGCCAAACGAGAGGCGGTGCCGGTGGCGACAGCCACTGCTCGCGAGGTGCTGCTTCGAGCGAGCATGCTGTGCTCGTGGATGGGGGTCAAGGTATCAGAGAATCGCTTGGAGTGCGGAGGTGAAGGCTGTACTCTGAATGGTATTGCTGAGGTGAATGATGGTGAGGTGGCGGTCAACAACCATGAGGGGAGACACCGTCATGCATGGGGCAGCCATGCCGAGATTTGGGGGAAATCACGTGATCTTCGGGGCTCCACCATATAAATCACGAAGAGAGTCAAGAGGGAATCAAGTTTGTGATCGAATTGGAGAAGCTCCACCTGCGTGCCGAGCAATTGATCAGAGCCGCCCGGCGCATGAGCATTTGTCAGCTCGCAGGCGGTGACGGCCGCAGCCAGCATCTCTTCATCCATCCTCAAGCCCACCTACGACACCGTCAACCCCACGAAGTTGAAGCATTTAAATTCCACATTCTCTGGTAACGATCATGGCAACGCTGAGCTCGGCCACGCGTTCCACGTTGCGCAAGCAGCTACGGGACTTTCTCAGCAGATGCGAGTCGTCGTCTGCTTCTTCGCAGGTTCACCTTACGTTGATCCTTTATCCCTCACCCGATGCTTTCCCTCCCAGAGTTTCCGGTGCGCTGCACATCAGCGTTCTCGATTCCTCCTTCAACCCGCCTTCCAACGCCCACCTAGCACTCAGCACTCTCGTTCCACCTGCAAGCACCTCGGAACACCCCAATGCTCACCTGTTGCTCTTCTCTGCTACCAACGCCGACAAGGGCACCGGTAGAAGTGGAGATGTGAAGCCGGAGAACAGGCTGGACTTGATGCTACTCTTAGCCAAGGATGTGGAAGCGGCATTGAAGGGGGCAGGGCAAGAAGCTAATGTATTTGTGGGATTGGTTGACAAACCTTTGATGGGCGACAAGAGCTCTCTCATACATGCTCTGCTTCGCCAGCACGGACACACTCCTGCTGTCCATAGCGAGGATGCTCATGCTTCAGATGGCGTTTCGCCCGCAAGATTGCACTACATCGTAGGA